TGCTTTGGAGTCTCTTCTGTTACCATGCTGCTTCTCACATGTGAAGATCTAGTGATGTGAATGCCCTGAAATACCAAAGCGTACTGAATTGAAGTCTTGATGCCTTTGTCCCTGCATTCATTTATCCCTTGAGTATTTATTGAGTACCTGATGTGTGCCAGGCATTGCTTTTGGTACTAGGGATACAGTAGCGGACAAGAGCAGGTTCTGACCTTTGTGAAGCTTATATTCTAATGCTAGAGGAAGATGGCACCCAAATATGACATAAAGTCTGGTGGTACTAATGCCATAAAGAGAAATAAAGCATGGTAATGGGATAGTGAAGAATGGGTCCTGTTTGTTGGATCTGGCAAGGTTCTATAAGAAGGTAATGTTTCAGGGGCAACCTGATGAAGTGTGAGAGCAAGCCATTGTTATCAGAGGAAAGAGGGCTCAGTGCAGAGAGAATAGTGTGTTCAAAGGCCCTGCGGTAAGAGCTTGCTTGGAGTATTCACAGGATAGCAGGAAGCGCTCTGTGACTGAGAAGAGTGAGTAAGGGGAAGACAGGTAAGAGATGAGACTGGGTAGAAGAGGCAGAGAAGGTGCGGGACCCTGAGGCCATAACTTCTCTTTAGCCTTGAGTGCCTTTCCCTTCCACCTGTAACTGCTGAGGTTGGAATTAATTTTAATTTGTTCCACATGGTAGCTAGTTGCCCTCTGCTTGCTGAATAATTATCTCTTCCCTATTGATTTGAAATACCATTTAATCATATTCTGTGCTTATACATACACACAACCATACAGACATGCGTAGACATGTTTATTAGCTCTCTTTCAGTGATTTGTCTTACTGCACATGTACCATATTTTATAGTACTGTGCCTTTATATCAGGCCTTGGCAAACTACAGCTCATGATCCAAATCAGGCCCACCACCTAGTTTTCTAGAAATAAAGTTTTATTGGAGCACAGCCACACTCATTTGCTTGTTTATTGTTTATGGCTGCTTTTGAGCTCCAGTGGCAAAGTAGTTGCAGCAGAGATCGGATGGTCCACAAAGCCTAAAATAAAATTTAAGATCTGGCACTCTGGCAGAGAGTTTACCAACCTTTGCTTTATATTATATATGGTCTGATAGGGCCTGTTCTTCATTCTTTATTTTCAACAATTTCTTGGCAAGTCAAGCATGTTTGTTCTTTTCAGGTGAACTTTAGAATCAATCTGCTAAGCTTGCCTGACTCCCTTCCCTTTCCCTCACCTCTTTTTAGGGGTGGGGAAGTGGGAAGTAGGGAGAATAGGAATTTGATTGCATTTAATTTTGTAGTTCAGTACAGGGTGAAGTGATCATCTTACGATACTGGGTCTTTCCATTCCAGAAATATTATCTTTGCATCTGTAAACTTTTATTGTTTCATCCCTTGAATGTTGCACATTTAAGTTTATTCCTACGTGTACTATTGCTTTTCCTTGCTATTATAACTGAGATCACCTCCCAGGTATACTAACAAGTGATTATTTATGGCATAAAAGAAGAGTTTGAATTTTTATGTATTTCAGTTGTTTCTGACCTTCTTATGGAAGTAAACTCCTGTTAGGACTGTTAATTCTTAAAGTTGATTCTTTTGGTTGATGGTCATTGTCTGAACTTACCAGTTTTTGTTTTATTCCTAATACATATGTCTCTCTATATTGTGGGATTCTATATACAAAGGGTAGTTTGGAGGAACTGAATTTTGACCCTCTCAATGGTGTTCACTTTTTTCCTGTTATACAGGTCACAACAAATTATAATTATTAAAAAACCCAAAACAAACCCCCAAAACTCCCGGAAAACTTTATGCCACATCAGCATTTGTTGATCATTTTAAAGAATACTCAGGAGATACTTTAGGCAAGCCGTTTATCAAGCATGCTGTGTCTTTCTGCAGAGCCATTTGTCACTTTTAATACAGAATGTTAGGTTTGCATGTCACACGTGAGAGTCTGACCCAGTGACTATGGTGGAGAGCCTTTTGATCACAGGCTAAAGTTGACTTTAACTGAGCATTTAGCCTTTAGAATTGAAATAGGAGCCAAAGGTGATTTTATGAATCAGTTAGTACTTTCCTAAATGCATTTCTGTAAAGCATGTGATCTTTACCCTTAACATCTATTCCTTAAGGATATGAAATCTATTTTAGATTTCAAGGTCTATTACTTGCTCTGAGCAGTGAACAGATGAACCATGAATTCAATATGTGTTAACCTTTGTGGATTTATCTTTTAATGCCATTTTGGTCTTTTTTTTTTTTTTCCCCTGAATTTGTGTCTACTCCTTAGGTTTTTACCTTGATGAAACTAAAGAAAAACTGTTTTGTTTATGCTGCTGGTTCCTTTTCTTTTTTTGATGAGATGATGATGAGGTGGTTATGATAGTAGACACGGGATATAGAAATAGAGACTTGCTGACATATATTATGTGACTTGTGAAATGAACATTGTTACTTGCATCCTCTGTAAAGTGAAACTTGATATATAGAACCTTAAATGCTCTTGTATATTTTTTTCCACTGCTGAGATATTCTTCCACCATCATTATGAAATCAGTTGGTGGTATATGAATGTAGACATACCATCATAGGCTGTTGAGATGTATCAGGCCGTATGCCTCTGTCACAGAGGCAGCTGCAGCTTTGAGATCTTTGATGTGGGGCTTGACTTGGATCTACAGAAGTAGAAACCATTGTAGGTGGTTGGTGTAGAAAATGGTATAATCTGCCAGTGATAATATCTTTTATTGGGCACTCACTGTGATCCACACATTACTCTGACTCTGCCACATCCAGGCATTGTAGTCTCATTCACAACTGAGGACATTGAAATTTAGGTTAAATAACTGATCGATCTGAGATTCAAACTAATTGTTAAGACACTAGAGTCAGGTTGTAAAGCTCGGAGTTTTATTTTGGCATAAACTCTCTGTGTGTGTGTGTGTGTGTGTGTGTGTAAAGATAGATTTAGCAACTTTAATTTGTTTAGATTCTCCTGTGTGAACTTCGACAGTTGAATCAACAGGTCTGGAGACCTCGTTGCTTTGGTGATCTTTGGCAGACTCCTGTGTATCCTTAGTGAAGAGAGAATCTAGGTCCTTAAGTTTCTGGGTTTTGTTTTTGTGTGTGTGAGTCCAGAAGTTTAATTTATATATCAAGATATTACTGTAGTGTATCGTTTGTCTTCCAAATTTTAAATTGAGAGTACAAAAGGGAGTTTATGGCTTGGTCATAGATGCCAGGGGAGAGGGCTAGGGGTAAGATTAAGTTCCCCAAAGCCTTTGCTACTGCTCCTAGCTTTAGAGCCCCCTACCTAGGTTTATGAAATAGAAGTGTAAGTACATAAATACACACACGTGTATATACATATATATTCACACACCCCAAATGTTTTAAAATCTTTTTCTGTGTAGTTGCACTAATTAAGATGGAAAATCAAGGTCTGCACATATTTATGTCATCATTTACCTTAAATGTGGCTCAGCCACTCGGATGCTAAGTAATTTGAGGCCCTTCTCTGGTCGTGTCTCAGCCAGGCGCCCTGACTCTCTGGACCGCTCTCAATGGCTGTGCCTGTGGTGTCAGGCCGGGGCGGCCGTTGGTCGGGCCAGCACTGTGCCCACTTAACAGCCCGCTGTTCCTGACAGTGGTGTGTGCATGTCAGGCACTCTGCTGCCTGCTGGCCCCTCTGCCCTCCGGGCCAAGCCAGGCCTGGATTCCTGGCACGGTTTAGAAAAGAAAAGTGAAGCTTTCTAAATACTGGCAGGCAGGTCAGCTTGCTTTCCAGCCCAGAGAGTCCAGCTCAGCAGAGACAATTTGTGTTGTAGTGTTGGCTCCTTGCATCTGACATGCATCCTAAATAAATATTCCAGGAAAGGGTGATTTTTTTTTTCCTCTCTCTCTTTTTTTTTTTATCAGAATGGCATTACTTGGAAAGTTACAGTATCTTTTCAGGGTTACTTTCAGACTAACGTTTACTAATCATTACGATAGTAAAGAAAAGGAACCAATGTAAATCTTGATATTTTATTTATGAAGCTGCTTCTATTGATGCTTATTCAAATATGAAAATAGCCGTCGACTTTTAACTCATATTCATATAACCTACCATGTAGGCAAGCATACTTTTTATGAAAAACATTTGAAATTGGAGATTAAAAAACTGAACATTAAGTTTTATGTTGTGTGGTATTGTGTGATAGAGCAGCTTGACTTTGTCTTTTGTGTATGATTTAGTGAGCAGTCCTGAAGTTGTTAGAAATGGCTGGTGGAGACAGTCTTTGATTTGGCCGTTTCTCTGTGAGTGGAAGTTCTGCCTCTGTTTTATTGGCTCTCTGGCACATTTTACTGTTGCAGTGCCAGGAACTATAGACTCCATCCCAGGGCCCTGGCCTCTCAGACAGGCCACTTTCAGGCCAGTCCTTTGATTTATCTGTGTTTGTTAAACAGGAGAGGGAGGGGCTCACATTCCATTTCTGCTCTATGTTGTGTAAGCGTCAACAAGATACGTATATTATAAGAAATGTCAAGTGAATGAGATGCTTTCCTGTTTATTTTCTTGCCAGGAGCTTGTATTGTGCTAGTAATTCTGGGGAGGAGAAAGAGAAAGTGAATATGGTTCATTTGAGATCTGTCTTCTATTTGTGTTACTTAATTTGCCAGCATCAGTGGTATTTTTCTATTAAGCTTAAGTTCATTGCTGATAGGATGTTATAACTACTGAAGTATTTTTGTCTTGCCTTACAATTCACATGAAAATTTCATGAGCTATATTTTAACATTTAGTTGGGAATTTAACTCTATTGTCAAAATATTTCTGGCAGATAGGTTGGTAGTTCTGTGTTGTATCTTATTTAATAAGTATCAAATATAATGGCAATAGTATTCAATTGTATCAAAACATTTATTTCCACTTTTGAGCTTTTTTTTTTAATAGTCTTTTTGCAGTATGGGAAATAAATGACACTGAATTTTCCCCTTTTTCTTTTAAAGACTTTCAGCTGAACTCTCATCTCTCAACACTGGCAAATATTCATAAGATCTACCACACCCTTAATAAGCTAGTAAGTGAATTTTTTAAAGACAAAACTACCAGCTGTTCAGTTGTTTTAAGTGTATTTGATAAGAATTTAGATTACGGATATTAAGATATTAGCTGTTTATGAAAATATTGAATTTTAAAACTTGCTGTATGGTGTGTGATTTCTTGGTAATAATGAACATATTTCTTGCAGAATCTAACAGAAGACGTTGGCCAAGACGATCACCAAACAGGTATCTATAAATGCTATCACTACTTAATTTTCAATAAACTTCCTAATAGTTATGAAGGAGAAGCACTCTCTGAGAACACTCCATATTATTATAATACATCCCATTAGCAAGTTGTTCCTTGGTTGAGGATCTTTCTCAGATGTATAGCGGCAGCCATGCCTCAGCTCCTTCCCAGGTGGAGATGTGTTCTAGGGCTCTGGTTTATGACGGAGTACTTCAGTTCCTTTAACGGGGTTGGGGGTTCTCCCCAGTGGTTTGAAGATAATCATTCCTTTACTAAAATACTTTAGCTTATACTAAAAAGTAGTGCCGCTTGAAAGGTTTTCCATAAATGCTTGTTGACTTGAGCTATAAAATGAGTTGATAGGGAGATAGGAGTGTATCTGTGTGTTTTGCATGGGTCCTGAGGATTTGTGGGCTTCCCTGGTAGCTCATATGGTAAAGAATCCACCTGCAGTGTGGGGGACCTGGTTTTGATCCCTGGGTTGGGAGGATCTCCTGGAGAAGGGAATGGCTACCCCCTCCAGTATTCTTGCTGGAAAATCCCATGGAGAGAGGAGCCTGGCGGGGTACAGTTCATGGGGTTGCAAAAGCTGAGCAACTAACACTTTCTTTCACTTTGAGGATTTATGACTGGGAAACTTGAAAGTGGATTATTGTAAACAGTTCTCTAGCCCTGTGGTTCTCAAACTCTAGCTGGCATTATAATCACGGTGCAGGGAGGAGCTAGTTTCAGCGGGCTCTACCCCCAGAGCTTTGGGGTAGGGCCCCGTAATTTGCATTTCTGACCAGCTGCCATGTGATCCTGATGGAGCCGGTCTGGAGATCACACTTTGAGAACCACTTCTCTAAACCATGATAATCACAAAGTTCAGAAACTTGCACTTGATCTATAGTTATGATAACTTCCAGTGATAGTTATTAAAATATATTTTAAAGTTTTTGAAAGTTACCACAGTAGTATATGAACACATGCTTGTTAGAGAATAGCACAAAAGCAAATGAAGGAAAAACCCTCCTTTTGTATGCTGTTTTAATACTTATTCTTTTGGATATTTTTGTACCTGCATATGTTTTTATAGTAGTAGAGTAGTGTTTTGTTGTTGTTGTTTTTTTTTTAGCATTGGTGAGCTCATACTGTATATACTATATAGCATCAGTCTTTTTTTTTTTTCATTTAATTTTTTTATTAAAAAAAATTACCTTGGAGGTTGTTGGGATTTAGAACTCCCTACCCTTCCCCTCCAGACTGATTCAGGATTAGTTGAAAATTAGGCATAATAAAATGGATATTGAACTAACAGTTGTGTTGGAAAACACAGCTTAGATGAACAGCAGAAATGCAGAAGCTCTTCAGTATTTCACCTTCATTAGACAGCCTTCCACACCATCACTGCCATAGCCAGTAGGGCACCACGTACCTGGCCCACCTCTAACCCCCCACTTAGGGCAGTGGAGGGGCAGCAGCTTCTGCCGGCAGGCCGGGCTGAAAGGGCGTTCAGAAGGGGCTGGGCCCTCTGCTCAGTTCCTGTGCCCCCCATTACCAATTAGATCAGACATTCCTCCTCCCCGGGAAAGGGGTGAGAGAAGAGGAGCTGTGTTTTAGAAGGCCAGGCCACAGAGGGTCCCTTCACCTGATCTTTCTGTTTTAGTAAGCCTAGGTCAGGACAGTCAAAAACAGTTTCCTTAATAATTTAAAAGCAGTGTATGCACATGATTTTAAAAGAAGTGTCTCAAAAGTATAAAAAAGCAAAGGTTGCCATCTAGTTTTATGAGCCCAGCTCCCATCCCCCTCTAGTACTATACCCTTGACTCTCCAGAGACAACTCTTATATTCTTGTATTTGTTTCCCAAATGATAACGATGATATATTTTCCCCCAAATACAAGTATACATTTATATATGCCTCTTGTTTTTGTCACTCAGTGTATCTTGGAGATCTTTTTATAGCACATTTATGAAGCTGTACTTTTAATGACTGCATGATTTTCTATCTTGAGACTATATCATAATGTATTTCTGTTGATGCACACTTAAGTGTGTTTAACTTTTAGCTACTACCAATAATGCTGAATATAATTTTCAGGGCCAGTTCTAATAGTTAAGAAAAAGCACATTTCTCTCTTCTTATTCTGGAAAAATGCATTGGTAGGCACTGGAGATTTTTTAAACTTGATAGTTGTTTTGATTTTTTTAAAACTGAATTTTTTGTTGGTAGAGTGTTTCGGCTGTCTTTCCCTTGGCTACGATAATGAAGCATCTAAGTTTGCATCTTGTACATTATTTAGTTAATGTTGAACTTTGGGCTTAAGTGAGTATTGTTACTATAGTAATGTCACATTTAAATATTTAACCTGAATGTGGCAGTTTAAAAACTCGGGGCTATAATTCAGGAACACTGAAGTGGAGAGCGTGTTTGGCCTCGCACCTCCTCTTCTGCCCTTGGGGACAGTGGATGTGTCTGATGTTTGGTATATGACTTGCTGGTGCAGTGCCTGGTACCTCATACGTGCCAGTCCATGTCAACTAGCATTAGTAATTTCTTAGAGTAGTACATTTCATTAACATTTCCCCATCTGGTTATAGCATCACTTGTGATTATCATATCTGACAGAGCATACTTGAAAAATTAAACAACATAAAATCTGTGATGTTTGGAAATCTGAGAAAGTTAATCACTGTAGTGCCTCTTTGAATCTCTTCGTTCAAGGGTAGACTGAGCAATTTCTATACCAACTGTATATGGAAGAGCGAAACCAAGTGCAAGAGGCCAGTATCTTTCTCCTCTCTTTCTTTTAATACTTTTCTTTGGTTCTTTCAGTCTTCCTACCACCAAAAAAGAAAAAGGGGAGAGAATGTACATTAAAATTGGAGAAACAGCCCAAAATAGTGGGCCTGAATTTAAAAAGCCAGAGAGGACCAATAGTAATAATAATAGTGAGGGAGGATGATAGATGTTGGAAGTCGTATTGTTTAGAGAGAAAGGAAAAGAAATTTTTTAGTCTTTAACAGTAGGATAAAAATTGCACACTTGGACACTGAAGTTTTACTCAAGCAAGTAAGTAGTTCAGTGGTGTGTTTAAGAAAATGAAATAAAATATTTTGATACTGATAAGATGTCTTAAAATACAACCTATTTATCAACTTGGGAGGAGAAAATGGCAACCCACTCCAGTATTGCCTGAAAAACTCCATGGACAGAGGAGCCTGGTGGGCTACAGTCAGTTGGGTTGCAAAGAGTCAGACATGACTGAGCACACTTGCATTGATCAACTTAAATGACTATACCTTTGTGAGATTGTTCTGTGAAAAAGCTATATAAAAATTAGTGAAGTGGCAGAATGAACATATAAAATGTTATTAAGTGAGTCAAGGTTATATGATACAACAAGCTCATAATGAAAATTCGATAGTGAGATTTTTGTATTGGAACATGCATTTATACTAAGTTTGGAAAAGTCAGAAAAAGATCTCTAATTGTAGAGAGCTCTTATTTGCGGATGAAACTGGGTGCACAATTTAATATGTCGTAGGAGAATTAATTCCTGAACAGGACCTTTTTTTAACTTGAGGCCCACAAGCAAATTGATTAAATTGAAAAAGTAGTGGAGCAGCTACTTAGATACCATTTATTAGGAATAACATACTTAGTTAAATTATTATGAAAACAGCCGGCTGCATAGGCATTAAAAGGCTTTGTGGTTTGATCCAGGTGAACTCAATTTGCTGTTTAAAATTGATTTTTCTGGGACCAACTATTAGATATGTTTAAGATGTTGCAGTATTTCTAATTGTTTAATGTTAGAAGAAGAGCTAGAATTCATTGACTGATTTATTTGAAAATATGGTCAGATTTATTTGAAAATATGGTCAGTTAATAGACTAATTTATTTGTTCTCCTTTAACACTGAACCAAAAAGAAATGAACTTGAACTCAATCATAACCTTTGGTTAAAAAATAGAAACAATTTCTGTTGTTTTCCTAAGGATCATACAAACACTTCAGCATCAAAAGTGTTTCTAATGAGGGGAGGGTTTCAGAGTCACTGTCTATCTGATGGAGAGATATTGCAGACTGAACACCAGAATGTCTATCACTGTAATGTGAAGGAGCCTGAATCATAGTTTGGGATTACTAGTTGAGATTATTCATCCCTTCATCTTCCTACTTCTTTATTATTATAATAAAAAGGCCTTTCCTTTTTCGTAAGTGCCTGCCAAACGTTTCTAATGAGATTTAAGATGGATTCCTAAAATCTTCCTTTTTCCTCTTTTTTCTTTGCTGTTGTTGTTGTTCCGTTGCTCATTCATGTCTGACTGACTCCATGGACTGCAGCACGCCAGGCTTCCCTGTCCTTCATGATCTGGACTTTGGTCAAATTTTTGTCCATTGAGTCAGTGATTCCTGATTGGCAAACGTTGGAAACTTGTAACTCTGATCATTTCCCTCCAAAAAGGCAATAATATGATTGGAAGAGAAACCAGAGTATTAACTCTGATCATTTCAAATGAATTTGTGGGTTAGTAGCTTTTATTTGTTAATTATTTATTGAATAAGAACTTTGAGGAGCTCAACTTACTGGCCAGTTTTCTTATATGTCGAATTGGGGTGGTAATAACAATTCTCAGGTTTGTGATGATAACTTTGAAAGTGCTTTGTAGTTATTAATTGAAAACATCAGCCTTAATATTTTGCCTCTTTACCTATAATGGCAGATTATTTGTACCTAAGTGGATACTTGTAGCAGGTTAAAATAGCTAAAGCTTCTTTAAAACAGATAAACATTCCATAAGATTCTTGTTTATATTATTTGCTTACTAAATTTTCAGTGTAAAATAAGTGTAATTCAGGTAGATTAAGTGATTCAAGTTCTGAGGCAGTAAAGTCTAAATTTAATGATACCGATAAATACAAATTTGTGAACCATTCATTTGGATTTAAGTGTCTTGATTATAAAAAGACATCACAGAGTTATTTTAAGAAGCAAACATTCTCAAATATTTGTGTTTAAAAAAAAAAATCCTACCTGCCAGGATACTTGAGCCAAGTACTTGTCTTAACTGATAAATGGGCGAAAAAATCTGAAATGGTGGTGTATTACCTATTCATAGGTGTTTCAGCCTCTGGAAATGTCCTTACTTCTTAGCAGAATTTGATTTACAAATGTTTTAGGAACGCATTTATTCAACAAATGTTCCTTCAGAGTCTACTGTAGGATATGTATACCTTACTACTGTATAATGATACTGTATTAGCTGCTCTGTCTGCACAGGTGAGCCAGACAGAACGCTGCAAACCCAGATGTACTTTGGTGCGTGGACTTAAAAATCTTGAGTTGTTGCTTTTGCTCAGGTAGAATCCCTGAAGCCATACTGGGGGTTTGGGGCTACCCCATCTTGAGTTGTATGCTGTCTATAAGTTTTTGTTGACTTGGTTCATGTCACCAAATTATTTTAGGTCAGCTTGTTTTCTTCAGCATTAAACACTTGCTTTTGAGTTAGCCTGAAACAAGTCATCGAGTTCCGGGATTCTGCCTGCAGGGCTGTGCTGTGCTGTCCTCTCTGACTTCTCTGGGATGTGAGTTGGACACATTCTTCCTGTGAGGTGGGGGTGAGAGGGTCCAGGAGCCAGTGTGTGCCTGAACTGTAGCAGGCATCAGGAATGAACAGGAATGTTTCATTGTGAAGGACGGCTCCTGACAGTCACTTACTTACGCCCATGTTTAGAGCAGAGACATCTGAACGGGGGCCACGTGAATAAGTAAAAGAACAAAATGCCAAATTTGAGATGCTTTGGGGCTGAAATATGAATACGTTTTATGCCAGGAAAAGTGATTTGTGAAACTTTAGCAGAAAGCATTCATTAGTAAGAAAAAAAAAGAAAGTTGAGAAAGTTAACTTATTTATGATGGCAGTGTTTCCACGAAGAGGCAACAGTAGAGGCAACCAGTAGATCTGGTGGTGGATGAGATCTTACTGGTGAATATTGGTGGAAGCATTGTTTTAAATGATGTTCATCTTCCCCCAGGCTGGGGAGAGGTGTGCATTTCCTGTGTTCTGTGAACACTGGTGGGAGGGGGAGGTCACTGCCGGACTGGATGCTCAGAACCTGACTGCGACTGGTGCGGGGGGACAGTGTCTCTCCTTCACACGTGCGCATCCAAAAGGGAGAAGCAAACCTCAAGTTGCTCCTTTCCGAGAAGCGTGGCAGGCTTTCTGGCAAGTTGGGTCACACTCTTTAGTTCTGCGAGCCGCACCCCGAGGCACTACTGGACAAGAGTGTCTTGCCTGGTGGCGGTCTGCAAAAGCCCGGGACTCTGCCCCCCCCAGACCTCCTCCTGGTATGTCGGGGTAAACAGGACTGGGTTCGCAGGGACGACGGACGGGTATGTATGGTGGCAGCACTTGCTCTGGCTCTTCTTCCTATTCTTGCTACTGTTGTGAGAGAGATGAGGGTGTCTGGTGTCTCTGAAGAATCTTCTACCCCCACCCTGGTTGAGCTCCGGGAAGGGTGGCCGAGGGTCGTCTTTCCAGCCTGGGGGGCTCTGCCTGTGCCCTGAGGAGCCAGCCGGGTCCAATGGCCAGTGCTGGACCCCCGCTCGCTGGCGCCATTGTCCTGGTTTGTTTCTGGAGAGGTGCTTTTGGCTGGCCTCTTCTAAAGTACATCGCCTGGAGGTGGAAGCCTGCGTGTGTCCAGGAGTTAGGTTCCAGTCCCGGCCCTTGTTCTTTTCAGGTTGGAACCATTAGCTACTGACGTCTCTCTCCCTGCCCTGCGGACAGCCTTCTGCAAAGAGCTGTCCCTGCTTTGCAGGTTGCTGGGTCCCTTCCCCAGCCTTACCCCTCCGCCTCCACCCCTTGCTGCTGCCTGCCCCGCCCCCTCCCACTGCCTAGCTCACCCTCCTCCTCAGGCCTCTGGGAGGACAGCACACTCACCCAGGTTTTCTCCCCACCCAGGTCCTCATCGTCTTTTCCCAGTCCCCAACATCCACACTCCCCCAGGCTCTAAGGGCTTGGTAGCTCAGCTGGTGAAGACTCTGCTTGCAATGCAGGTGACCCCAGTTCGATTCCTGGGTTGGGAAGATCTGGAGAAGGGATAGACTACCCACTCCAGTATCCTTGGGCTTCCTTGGTGTCTCAGATGGTAAAGAATCTCCCTGTAATGCAGGAGACCTTGGTTTGATCCCTGGGTTGGGAAGATCCCTTGGAGAAGGGAACAGGTACCCACTCCAGTGTTCTGGCCTGAAGAATGCCATGGACAGAATAGCCTGGCGGGCTACAGTCAGTGGGGTTGCCAAGAGTCGGACACGACTGAGCTACTTTGACCTTTCCCAGGCTCTGGCCTCGGTCCCCTGCTTCTCAGCCTCTGCTGCTGTGGCCCTGTGGCAGTGACAGTGAGCGGTGGCAGGGAGCCAGGGCCTCGCTCCTGGGATGCCTGGGTTCCATCCTTGGTCCCACCTGCTGCTTTCCAGCCACTGCTTCATCCCTCTGCCTGAGTTTCCTTATTTGTAAGAATGGGGATGCTAAGGATGCCTTCCATCGTAGGGTGGTTGTAAGGATCAGGTAAACGTGGAACTCTGGCCTGAGCACATATCTCTTTTGTGAAACTCAGTTCCCAACATCTGTCTGCACGTGATGCTTGGCACCTGAGCCCTTGCTGAGGGGATGTTTTTCCCTCAGAACACTCCTGAGAAGGTCTCGTTTTCAGACGGTGAACCAGAGACCCAGGATGGGTCATTGACTGCCCAAGCCACACGAGCAGGTGAGGAGCCGGAGCTCATGCCCGGGGTGCAGGGCGCCCGGCCCCTAGTGCCTGGCTCTCTGAGGGCCAGGCCTCTCACCAAGGCCCCAGCGGGCGAGCAGGATGCCGTCCAGAGCTCACCGCCTGGCCTTTCCAAGGCCTTGGGACGTCTCTTGAATGCCTGATCCTTAGCTTTCCCCATCTGCCAGTAGAGATCATTATCTCTGCCCTGCGTGTCATTCGGTGTTATTGTGGGAACCAATGACACAGTACTTGTGCCAGGATGGGGTTGTAATTGTCTTTTAATTTACAGTGGTTTAAAACAGTCTGAAGTGAGACTGTCTGGGTTTGAATTCCAGTTTTGCCACTTACCTGACCTTTTTCTGCCTCTATTTTCTTATCCACATAGGCATTATTATTCTCTTTTCATAAACTTGTCATGAGGTTAAGTGAGTTCATACATGTAAGTGTTAAGAGCAGGGCCTGGCATATGGTAAGGTCTCAATAGGTGTTCTATGATGGTGTTACATTTTTAATATCTTTTACCAAATTGAAGCTATGTCTCAGAGAACCCTGACCTTTTGGTCTTTTGACCAGAATCTTCTTTAAGTGGTGAAACAAACTAAAAAGTTCTATGGAAGTTTTGCTGAAGATCATATCAGGCTTTTGCCCGAAATCCAAATTGTGTGTGTAACGTTTTCTCAAAGAGGAGCTAAAAACCATATTTTCACCTTATAGCATTTACAGGTGACATATAAACCCTTCGTAGCATAAACTGTGAAAGCTGTTCATTCAGTGGTGGTGTTCAGAAGGGTTTCAATGTGGTAGTCCTTACTTTTATGCTCTTCACTGTGTCTTGTAGGAAGTCTGCGGTCTTGCAGTTCTTCAGACTGCTTTAGTAAAGTGATGCCGCCGAGGAAAAAGAGAAGACCTGCTTCTGGAGATGATCTATCTGCCAAGAAAAGTAGACACGATAGGTACGTTGCAGAGACAGTGGATCCACGTTGATGGCATACTTGCCAAAGAGGCACATTGAGCTATGAGCCCAGTGTGAACCTTCCAAGTACACAAATACCAACTGGAATGTTGTTTTGGTTCTGATAGGCATACTTGCAAAGTGTAATTATTTCGTGATACTTAATGTGTGGGTTCATGAAATAAAAACGAATTAGGTAATCTGGGTTCTTAGAAATTTCAAGTTTTATCTTAGTCCATTGATCCACCAAAACTGGTGTAGAGTTTCTTTCTTTCCTTTTAAGGGCTTGCTGTCTGTGCCCGTTGAGGACCTCAGGATTGGTATGTATCTGTTCTTTAAGAGGGTTTCACTACCTGCAACAGGAGCAGGATTCCCATAGCTGCTTTTGCAAGGACCTGGGCCACGTGGCTGAAGGGAGCTGCCTGTCCCCGAGTGTTCTGAGCCTGCATGGAATATTAGCTGAGCTGATGTTCCTTCTCTGAAGAGTGAGGATTTGTTAGGAGCCATGAAAAACAATACTGTTGAGACCACTTCTCTTTCAGACAAGTGACCTGCTAATTTCGGTAACTCCCAAGGTCTGTTAGGTTGGCTTATTTTAGGCATCTTTACTGTTTCAGCCAGATTTTAATGGCCACTTTTGTTCTCTCTTTTTTAAACAATGAACAGACATCATAGTTTTAATCTTTTCTGCCTTTTCCTATCTTCCTCCATTCTGGCTCTGTAGGTCATTTCACTTCACTGATGTGGCCTGAATTGCCATATTGATAATCAGAGGGATCAGATGAGAACTTTCTGCTGCTTTCTCGTTGTGATGTTTCATATACTACAAGTCTTAGAGGGTTAGAGAGATGGTCTCTGAGAACATGAAAATCGTGTCACTGTTCCTTTCTCAAATGAGTGGAAAGTATTTGAAAAAACTGTAGCCGTGATTTAGAAGATTATCACCAATACAGTTTAGACCAGTGATTCAGCTTTATGAAGCCAAGCTCCTTGACCATTTGGTGGTACAGATATTATTATCAAGGAATTGTTAAATTCTGATTATCACATAGCATGACTGTATGTATCACTTACTATTTTTTCACTGGGGTCTAAATTCTTCTAGTGTGATAAAGCCAGTTTAAAGTCTGTACAAGGCTGAATTTTCTTCACTAATTCAACCAGAATAGTATATCTCAACAATCTGAATGTAGAAACAGATAATGATAACTGAACAGTCTAATATAAAGCCATATTTTTAAAGCATTTGCAAAAATATAAAATAATGCCCCTCTTCTCACTTATTTTTAAAACTAGAATTATTTTTCATTAAAATACAGTGTTTTAATACACACAAAAAAACTGGTAGTTGAGTTGCAGAAAGGTGTGAGGTACTCTCATTGATAGCATTTCATTGGTCACCCAGGGCATGGGGAGCTAATTCTATAGCTGGATGATTTAGTTGAGTTTCATTCTTGGTCCTTTTTGGAAAATTTTTATTTACATACCACAATGTGTACAGTTTTAAGTGTACAATTCAGTAATTTTTACTGAGTTTGTTTTGCAACCATCACTACAAACCAGTTTTAGCTCTCACCCCAGTTGGATCCTTGATGCCCGCTTACAGTCTGCCTGCCCTTATTCTCAGCCCCAGGGAACCACAGATTCACTTTCTGTGCCTTCGTATTTGCCTTTTCTGAAGATTTCACATAAATGAACCTTTATGTGAAATGGCTTTTTTTTTTTTTTGCTTAGCATAGTTCTTTTGAGGTTCTTCCATGTAGTAGCATATATTATTTATTTTTTTGAGTGTTATTCCAGTGTCCTTTTTTATGTAGAATATTGTCAGGTAATTCAGACATTACAGTGTCTTATATAGGTCTCCAGTTAATTGACCAGTTACAGACTTTGAGCTGAGAAAAAAATGTCCAAGCCCAGGACTAGAGCAAATCTGTTTGAACCCCTGGCCAGTATCCACCTTTGTTTCCAGGCGGTATGGCTGCTTTTTATAGAGGAAATACAAAACTAGTGGTTTGTGGTTTCAGTATCTTAGTACCCTATAACATATTTTGGGATTTTTTGGGTATGAAAACCCAGAATCTCTAATTAGCAGTGTATACAGATATCCTGGTGAAAGTCTCGATCGTGAATAAGTGCTCACTTCAAAGGAATTATGTATGATACTATATGTTATGTAAATAAAAGCTGTATTCATAAATGTTCATATATAAATAAGGGATAAAACTTATAACTTTTCTATTGAAATCATTGTTTGTAATGATGCTGATTCTTTTCCCCTCCCCAAGTAGGGAATGTCTTGCTCCTCAGCCCCATGCCGTCATGAGATAAGGAGTTCCTGACGAGGGTCACAGAGGGCAGGAGGAAGCCCTGTGCTTGCTGACTCAGTTCTCCAGCTTATGCACTGGTTCCACAGGCTGGGACACGCCAGGAGCAGGGCAGGAGCCAGGATTGCTCTGTATTTCTTTTTCCTGAGGTTTTTTCCCCTGGAGGCTTGTTCATAATTTGATATTTCTTTTCATTTGCTTAACAAGTTTCTTGGAGGTCTCTACTATTGCCAGGTTCTTCCTTAGACTGTGCTCTGTGCCCAGCCTGACTCAGATGACATGGGCATCAGGAGAACTTAATTCAGGAACACGATTGAATTCTAGGGTCTTCAATTGAAGAAAATACCAGTGACATTTCTTCCTGCATCTCACTATTGTTCTGTGTTGGTTCTGGCTAGAGAGGTAGAAAGGTATATATCAGATACTTGTTCAGTTCAGTTTTTACTAGCTATTTGTTCATCGGAGAAAAACCTGTATTAAGAGCTTACCATTTAATTCTATACTAGGTATGACTGTGTTTAAAACTATAGTTATTAAAGGTGACGCTTCCAGGTGCAAGAAGTGGAGTGTTCTAAATGTATGTGAAATACCTATTGACTAGGTATCTGATTGGGTAATAAAATAAAAACTACTTGTTACTTAAAAAAACTCAGTATCTTTAAATAACTTCTAAAACTCCTTTCTCAATTTCTAGCATGTATAGAAAATATGATTCAACTAGAATAAAGACTGAAGAAGAAGCCTTTTCAAGTAAGAGGTGCTTAGAATGGTTCTATGAATATGCAGGTAGGTAATCACCTAAGGCTGAGCCTCATAAAAATGCAGAGTACTTTAGAGGAAACTAAAGAATTAAAAAAAGAGTACTTTTCGAATTTGGGGTGTGTGTCTGTGTATGTGTGTCTTCCTGTTTTCGAGAGGGAGCACAGTTAAACAAATCACCAAAGGTTCTATTTATAGCCAGCAGCTAAGCCAAAGAACTCAGAACACTAGAGGGAACTGAAAAGATGAAATGTACTTGGGAGAAATAGTTTGGATTGCTAGGAAACCTGTTGAGAATGCTGGTAACGGGTGGCTGCTTGGTTCATGCGTCCAAGTTAAAATAGGCGTTGTTGCTTTGAACCTTTATGTCATGCAGTGGAATTTCTTATATTGTGTCTCTGTTTTGAAAGATCATTTGGCAGACAGTGTTGGTTTTGTCATTTAAAATATCTTAAAACCAATCCCATTTTTGCAGTTTATTATAACCAGTTGAATAATATTGAAATAAAAGGTTTGTTTTTGTGGCTGTGTATGGTGTGAAAAAAGGGGAAAAGAAAAACTTTCAGACAAGTTTGAACTGAAGGCTATTTTACTTTTCCTCTTCCCCACCAAATTTGTATCCCAGCGTATGCACTTGACAAGTCCAGTGACCTTCAAACCGATTTTCTCAGTATCAGTCTCTACCCCCAATCAGTCTATGTGTTGCCTGTTGTCTAATTTGAAGAAAAAAAAATTGAGCAGATCATACATGTCATTCCCTAACAATTCACTACACCCTTACCCCCACTTAAAAACCGCTACTACCTGTGGGAGAAAAGACAGCTAACTCACAGTGGTCTCTTGCCTGGAGTGTTTTTCTCCAGTTTTCCATTTGACAAGCACATGGTGCATCTCTTAGCTTAATTAGCTTAATAACCTTCTTTGTACTCCTACAGGAAGGGCATTGCTCATAACTGGTTTCCATGCCCTTTTCTTGGGTTTCAGAGTGAGAATTCTTCCTGAGGCCAGTGTTTTCCTCCCACCCCACCCTTTTCTGATAAAAGTCTTGCCCACTTTGGCCACAGAGATTGTTCCTGGGGCTTGCAGGTAACCCAGGTCAGGACCATCAGATAAAATGTCCTGGGGTTTTCAGATTGAAACTGGAAGAAGAGCCTTTTTATCTTCTGGTGGTAGACTTGAATGGATGTGATCCTGATTTCCTGTAGTCTTTTGGATTTTTGTGAGCTACCCCAGTGTCTTTCTAATGAATTCTCTTTCATCACTTGAACTAATTTGAGCTGGGTTTTATTTGCAGGGATGGACACACAGTGTAGACACTTAAATAGTATTAGAATTTGTCTTTTTCACGTTTAGATCTTGAAAGCATGACTCTCTTGAAGACAGTTTGTTCCTAGTGAAAGTAGTCGGTCGGCACGTTTCCGGGTGTTCAGTACTTGGGTCTGAGTGATGGAGCATTTTCTCGTGTTCCTGTCACTTTGATTATGAAAATCTCTTGCTTTCTTATATTGGTTCACATTTATTGTAATGACATGTATTATAAGAAGGAAAGTTTATTTATTTTTTTTTTTTTGTGAAAATGTTTTCAACAGTATATTAGCATTTCAAAAACATTTGTCCAGCTGTATATGTTACCATTGTTATATGATGACATAAGTAATAACATCTTGGTTGTTGACTTGATATATCCTATCAACTTTTTTTTTTTTTTTAAATTTAATTAATTTATTTTTTTTTTCTTATCACAACCATAAGGAAGGAAAGTTTAAACAGAAAAGTTATACTTAATCCCACCACCATCACACAGTCATTTTGATACTGTTGTGTCCTCCTTTATGAGCAAATATAAATTTTTCCATAGGAAAAGCCATACTTCTGTTTTCCTTTAAAAGGAAACACAGTACAGTTTTTCCTTCTTGATTGCTCTTCTCTGGTTCAAAAAGGTGACATTTGGGATAAAGATTAAGCTGCATTCTTTAGGTTCCTTGAGACCCCTGCCAGGTGGTTCGTTGTGGGGTTCATTATTGCAAGAAGTTTCTGTGGTGTATTTTATACCCCCCCTTTTTTTGTATCTCATCAGGAAAAATGACTTGAAATTGGGAATAACTAAAAGCCCTACCTGGCACCTTCTTTCATTTTTTAATATCCCAACCACATGAATAAAAACTGTAGTTCACTGTTATTCAGGAAAAACACACGGTGAGGGGCCGCAGAAAGGTTGAAGGGCTGTGCTGCGGGCTAGTCTGGGGGCAGAGAGTGAGGCTGCGGCCCCGTGCCCGGATGAGGGTCCCCTGTGGTGTGGTGGTGTTCCCTGGGAGACAGCCGCCCGCCTCGGGGTGACTCCCTGCCCGGAACAGAGTGGAGTGCAGGGCGGTAGGGGCCTTGGCGGTGCAGCCCCCTGACACCGCTGGACCTTTCCTCTCCCCAGAGCTCTCAGCTCCACCTCTGGCCCTGACCTCTGCCCTCCGCCCTCCCTTGGCCTGAGCCTAGCCCTCCTTTGCACCTCTTAGGATACAGCCTCTTGCCTTTTAAAATCCCTGTCAACTTAGTTTCTGATTCTCAGAGATTTGATAAATGAAACTGCCTCGACTGCGGCTCTTGTCCTGTTCTCTGGTTATAGGTTTACTCACTGTGGTGCTGTGGTTCTCTGGTCCTCTGACTTTAGAAAGGGTTGCTGAGGGCAAGATTGGGGGAGTGTCTTATTTAGACCTCTGTCTGAAGCTGGAATCTCATTTCTTTTTCATTAAAATAACCAGCTATACATAAATAATTTAATAGCTTTTACCTTCTGAAGTATTATATCTAAGAATAAGAGATGAGAGCAAGTATCCAAGTGCCAACATTTAAGTCACACTGAAGCTCACACATGTAAGTTGTAAAGGTTCTGCAAGTCCTGATTGTAGGCTCTTCATCTCTACTTTGAATTAGGTTCTATAGCAGAGCTGTGTTTTGGTTTACCAAAGTGAGGTTAGGGATCAGGAACAGTGGGCTGTCAGTGAAGGAGAGAGTGTGGCCCCTTTTGCCCCAGTGATGCAGTGTGCTGTGATTATGGAAACTGTACCATGATGGTCTTGGGCCCTCATGAAGAAGTTAAATATATTTAGTTAGGAGCCCCTGCTTAAAATAGCAGTGAAAGTGGGAGGACCGCTCTCTTCTAGATTATTGTCAGTATATCTACCTTCTAAATGTACCTCTAGTATCATATCACTAGGGCATTCCATAGCTTTTAAACCATCTCCCTCAAACCTGCTTTTAATCCACTTTGTGTTAGCCAGTGGCCTGTTTGTTAGATTGTTGTTTAGTCGCTAAGTCATGTCTGATTCTTCTGTGATCCCACGAACTGTACCCCTCCAGGCTCCTCTGTCCATGGGATTTCCCAGGCAAGAATGCTGGAATGTGTTGCCATTTCCTCCTCCAGGGGATCTTCCCAACCCAGGGACTGAACCTGCATCTTCTGCGCTGCAGGAGGACTCTTTACTGCTGAGCCACCTGGGAAGTCCTTTTGTTAGACTAAAATTGCTCAGTTCTACAGATAAATGATAAGTCTAGTGTCGGTACACCCATAAGGCCAGTGAACAATGTGATTACAAATAGATCTGAATGTGTGCATGGGAATGATAATGAGAAAAAAGGAAAAGTTATTGTAGATAACAGGATTATGGGTAGTGTTTAAGTAATGTTGACTGATAAGCTCTATTTTAATTTTTTTAGGATAAAATATTAAAGTAATAGGAGTCATGCCATTGGAAACCATGCTGTTAAAAACCTTGTTTTTTATAAAATACACAGATGCAAGTGTATATAAGTAATATGACAATAGCATTGCATAAAATGTGAAAAAAAAGAAAAAAGCATGGGAAACTTAATGTCACCACTGCCCAGTGTAACTCAGCAAAGCTCTGAGGGCCTGCTGCATGCCAGGCTGTGGGGTGAGTGTGGACAGCCGGAGTGCTGCGCTTGGAGCTCATTTTGTTGTGTGATAAACAGACAAATGGAGACGCGCCATCACTGTGATGAGCATTGACAGGGAGGGGAGGTGGGGTTGGAGGGGGTGTGAGTGGGGCAGCCAGCTGGGAGACCCCCAGGCCCTGTGCCCAGGCAGGGGAATGGCAGGTGGCTTGCCAGGCTCAGGAATAGGTAGCAGAGAAAGGCTTTTTTTAGATCACAAAATATAGAAACCAAAGACAAAATTTTTTTAAGGTTGTAAAGTGCTTTTTTTCCCCTCAGCTTTGTGTAACCACCTCCCAATGAGTCCTTTCAGTAGATACTAAAAACTCATCTGTTCCTACAAATGGAACCTCTTAGCAGGCTAGAAATAGATGGATACTTCCATCGGATATCATTGCTCTTTAATCTCAGCCCAGATAACTTTACGGTAGTGGAATGATAAGGGCTATGAAACATGGAGTTCACACACAGTGGCCTACGGTGGAGTAGTGTACAGAATATCAGCTGGGTGTTTTTACGGGAAGTCACCAGATGGTAAAATAAAGCAGGATATGGTCTGAACCATGTGCATAGATAAGCAAGTTAAGAACCCATCTCACTGTGTATTTGCACGTACATAAATACGCAGCAGAATGGTCCAGGAGAATACATGCCTGCCTGGTAAGGAAGAGAGGAAGGCAAGCTTTGTCTCTGCTTTACTGCACTTGGACTTCTCTATTTGAACGTCTCACCATATGAATGTATTCGTGTGTCGATTGTGTAACGTATACGTGTGTGCACATGCAGGCATATGCACACATGTGTGTGTGCTTACTCACTCAGTTGTGTCTGACTTGGTGACCCCATGGACTGTTGCCCACCAGGTTCCTCTGTCCATGGGATTTTCCAGGTAAAGGTACTGGAGTGGATTGCCATTTCCTCCTCCAGGGGACCTTCCCGACCCAGGGATCGAACCCGGGTCTTCTGCTTTGGCAGGCAGATTCTGTACCACAGAGACACCTGGGAAGCCCATATGCACACACAAACCCAAATGATAAAATGGTAACTGTATTCCCGTTTGAGTCAAGAATGAGATAAGGGTGCCCATTCTCACTCTTTCTTATTTGCCATTGTTTTGGGAGGTTATTAGCTAATCCTGTTAGATAAAGAAGGGGCATAAATACAGGAAAATAAATAAATAATACATAAATAAATAAATACAGGAAATAAATAAATCATTCATTGAAGATGAAATGATTGTTGTGTACTTGGAGGCCAAAGAGAATTGCCTGAAAAACTTATAGAAATAAATATGTATATATTTACTGTAGCTAAAATTCTATAAAGTAGCTTATTTGAGGAAGGATTTTTAAAGAAATTCTTCTGGGGTGTAGGGAAAGGTTAGAAGGAAAACTTTTGCTTTTTTAGCACTTTTATTTTCAGTTTTAATTGAAATTTCATATCATTGTATGTATTAATGTTGCCCAAAAAATTGAATTAAAAATTAAGTAAAGTTTTATTTGATTTTCCTGTAATAAGACAAAATTAAGGATACCTTGAAAAACATGTAAAATGAGAAAAAAGAGAAAGTCCCCAAAAAGATAACAGATTTGAATTATGTGAAAGGAAATTATTTGTGACAAAATAGCACATTTGTGATTAAAGGGCAAGTAAGACAGGCAGAAAAAGTATCTGCTCTGGCTAGATTATGTGGAAGAGCCTGAGTTTGGGCTTTAAGAGAAGCCAAGGACGAGAAGAGAGAAGTGACATAGGACTGACCAGTGAGCGTGCAAGGCGGTTTTAGTTGTCACCCTTTGTTGAGAACAACCACCATATACTTTGTGATCTAGTTATTACTTTGCAGTGAAATTACTCTTGTGCTTTATTTCCAATCTTGGTGGGCAGGGACCATGTATTACTCCTCGTCAGCTACTTCTACAGTGAATAGCTCCAGGATGTGCCCAGTTGATAACATTTGAATAAAACAGGCATTTAGATGGATTCTGCTGATCTTGGCATCTTGGTACATCTGAAGGCTGTGAAAGATTGTGGAGTGATTTTTGTATTCTGATATCCATCCATTCATTCAATAAAATTTATGGAGCAACTACTTCATGCCAAGGTAGTAGGTTGAGGTTATAAGAATAAATAGCTCTTACTCTGTTGGAATTTAGAAGGAAAGGTGGATGAGCTGGGACTCGATGTAGATGTGGGAAAAGCATTCCTAGCATTGCATGGGGACTGCCTGGCCCGGCCTCCATCTGTGGGAGTGGGGATGTTGGGAGGGCTGCCTGTATGGTCGCGTCTGCAAGAGGGAAGGAGCTCACGTGAGAAGAGGGGAGAGGGAGGTGGACTGAGCCCCACGAGTAGTACCACATGTAGTACCGTATAGTAGTACCACATGTAGTACTGTGTAGTAGTATCACATGTCAGGGTATGTGTGCAGAGCGAACCGTGGGTAGGCATTTCTGGATCCTAATTTTTGTTCATTCAGCAATATTTATTTGATTCTTTTATATCCGGGAAACTTGATTTGAAGGTGGAAAGTTATGAGGCTGAAGAGGAAGGGTGGCAATAGATCATAAAGAACCTTATTTAATATGCCAGAGACTTTGGACTTCATCCATAGATGGTAGGGAGCTTAAAATCAAAGGATTTTAAGCCAGGATGGAGTTTATGTTTGAGGTGTGCCCTCCAGGTGGCTGTGTGCAGGATGAGGCTCTGGAAACAGGGGAGACCCTGAGGGTACTGCTGTGGTCATCTAAGTGAGAGAATGACGTCTGAATAACAAGTCAGCAGTTAAGAAATATTTGGAAAGTAAAATTGGCAGGGCACTGAATCATTGATTGGCTCTTGAGAATGTAGGAGAAGGGGGAACTGCGGGATGAGGCCTTCCGTTTCAGCTGGTGACCCGGGTTGAGACACTACGGAAGGATAATCTCAGCTACTCCAGGGAAGCCACATAAAACAGAGACAGACTATGTCTGCTGGATGTGGTGATTAGAGCTGATTGGTGGCCTTGGCAAGGGGAGTTTCCATGGAGGGAGAGGAACAGAAAACAGTTGCCGTGGTTGAAGAATGAGTGGGGATGCAATAGAGCTGTGATGTGTGGACATTGCTTTCAGGAAAAGAGAGAGCTAATGTGGAGTGTGAAGAAAGGACTATTGCCTTGTGTAGAACAAAAAAGACTGCTTGATTTTTTTTTTTTCTGTGTAAAAGAAACAATTATATTACTTCCCAGTTAATTTTATAAAGAATATTAGGTGGTTTTTTACTGTTTCCAAAATTTATTTTATGTGTTGAAATTATTATCAAAATAAGAATAGAGTTTTATAAGCTACTTTAAAGAATAGAAGTTGAATACCTGTAACCTTGTCTTTCGGAGAAGGCAGTGGCACCCCACTCCAGTATTCTTGCCTGGAAAATCCTGTGGATGGAGGAGCCTGATAGGCTAAGAGTCGGACACGACTAAGCAACTTCTTTCACTTTTCACTTTAACTCATTGGAGAAGGAAATGGGAACCCACTCCAGTGTTCTTGCCTGGAGAATCCCAGAGACGGGAGAGCCTGGTGGGCTGACGTCTATGGGGTCGCACAGAGTCGGACGCGACTGAAGTGACATAGCAGCAGCAACCTTATCTTTAAATATCAATTATATGTACATCATTTGTAGGTTGAAGGACTCAGCCATAAATTGATGTAAATGATTGTGCAAAGCAGAGTCCTTTAAAGATAGAACTTAAATTCCAGAATATTTTTCAACTTATACTTGGTAATTTCTTCCTTCAGGAAGGATTTATGGTCCTTAGGTGTTATTTGATCTTAATAATAAGTATTTTAACGGTATAATGCTACAGTAGTAATAATATCTGTACATGGTTAGATTTACTTTATGTAAATTGCATTTCATCACAGGTACTGATGATGTTGTAGGTCCTGAAGGCATGGAGAAATTCTGTGAAGACATTGGTGTTGAGCCAGAAAATGTAAGTCTTAACTTACTAATTGGGCAAATCAGTTGATCTGATTTTGTCTCTCAACAAATAATGCAACAGTAAAGAAGTAAGGATATGTTAGTTTTTATGAGGCAGTCTAAGAAATAAGTTCCATTCTGAATTGGTCTGTAAAGCAGAACTTTTTTTGCAGTTGATGTGTAACTACAGTTAGTCATTTTTTTCTCATTTAATTTCTTAATTTCTTTAATTTCACTAATCAAGTAACTAAAGTAGACATTAAAAGTGGTGTGTGCATGTGTACCTCCGATGACAGATAACTAGGGGATTGTGTATCTTTGTCCTCCTCTGTAGTTGTTCCAGCCTAATGTAGAGTTTGTCCAGGACTTTGAATAATTAATTATTTATAAGAGTTTTGAATAGGTTGTAATTATCAAGGATTTTTCACAGCTCCTTCACTTCCAGTTGAATTTAGCTTGGAAAGTGATTGATTTTTAGTGTAAAAACCCTAAGTATTTCCCTTAAAAACTTCAATTAGAAGTTTTTTACATGCTTAATTATTTTTGCCTAATTCTTATCATCATGTTATTATTGAATATTTTTCCTATTCCCACATCTGTCTTAGTGTAAAATGAAAAATTATACAAATGCCCTGGCTCGTTAGCTATACAGTTTAATATTACAGTCCCCAGTTTAACAAATGCTTCTTACATCTTCAGTGAATTTATACTCTGGTAGAGCTCCCAAGGGATCATCCCTTTCATCAGAGCAAGCATTGGTAAAATAACCTGGTGCTCATGCCGATATGTCATGCTCCTGGAGATTTTGCCAAGAAATTTTATTAAAAAATTTTTTGTTACCATTTCTATGCCTACATCTTCCCCACTTTCTCCCAGTAACACTTTAAATTTTCTAAAGAGCCTTTGGACTGATTTTTGCCTTGTATTTTTAATTTTAATGTGATCTAGTTCAGGTTGTTGTTCATTTGCCAAGTCATGTCCAACTCTTTGCAACACCATGGACTGCAACATGCCAGGCTTCCCTGTGCTTTGCTATCGCCTGGAGTTGGCTTAGATTCATGTCTGTTGGCTCAGTGATGCTCTCTAACCATCACATCCGCTGCTGACCTCTTCTCCTTTTGCTGTCAGTCTTTCCCAGCATCACGGTCTTTTCCAGTAAGTCGGCTCTTTGCATCATGGGGCCAAAGTATTGGAGTTTCAGTCCTTCCAATGAATATTCAGGGTTGATTTCCTTTAGGATTGACTGGTTTGATCTTGTAGTCCAAGGGACTCTCAAGAGTCTTCTCCAGCACCACAATTCGAAGGCATCAATTCTTTGATGCTCAGTCTTCTTTATGGTCCAACTCACATCCATACATGACTGCTGGAAAAACCATAGCTTTGTCTATTCAGAACTTTGTTAGTAAAGTGATGTCTTTGCTTTTTAATATACTCTAGGTTTGTCATAGCTTTCCGTCCTATGAGCAAGCTTCTTAATTTCATGGCTACAGTCACCGTCCACAGTGATTTTGGAGCCCAAGGAAGTAAAATTTGTCATTGCCTTCATTTTTCCCTTATCTGTTTGCCATGGAGTGATGGGACTGGATACCATGATCTTAATTTTTTGAATGTTGAGTTTTAAGCCATCTTTCTGGTTCAGATGTCTTAATACATTATTCAGATTGGTGTGAAGGTCTGGGGACAGCTGGGTCAGTAGTGTTTTGCTTAATCTGGTCCATAGCCAGAAAAGAACATAGACAGAAAAGAACATTTCACTGACTTTAAGAAGGAAGTTTTCTGACAGGAAATGGGCTAAGCTTGACAAGTGTTTTCTGGAGGGCAATATAAGAGGGGCGAGAGTGAGCTGGCTCTGAGAGGAGTCCCGTTTCTACCCAGGGAACAACAGTCGGCATGTAATTGGGGGTGGACCGCAGGACCCGATGGTGGGGAGATGGGGAGGTGTCAGGCCGCAGGTGTCAGAGGGATTAAGTGGGCGTCTGCTCTCAAGGGAGAAAGGCCTGTTGCGTGGGGGAGTGCCACAGCTGCTTCTGAGCAGAAAACTGGCAAGGCCCCGTGCTTTAAAGTTGCTCACCCCAGATACCAGCGTGTCTGTCGGTCGCTCAGTCCTGTCCGACTCTCTGTGGCCCCATGGACTGCAGCCCGCCAGGCTCCTGTGTCCTTGGAATTTTCCAGGCAAGAATACTGGAGTGGGTTGCCATTTCCTACTCTAGAGGATCTTTGCAGCCCAGGTATGGAACCCTAATCTCCTGCATTAGCAGGTGGATTCTTTTACCACTAGTGCCACCTGGGAAGCCCCCAAATACCAGTACTCAATAAAAAATAGTTGCCATGATTATCTTTTTTGGTAATTATGAGTCTTTGGTTCTCCATTTCTGTAGGAATAGAAATAATCTTGAAATGTTGAATCACATAGAAGACCAAAAGACCCAATGCAGACTGTTATTCTAAAGTATTTATTACTGTATTTCAATTTAAGATGCCACTAATAGAAATTTTATTATTTTATTCATCACTTAAAGGGAAAAATGTTAAGTAAATCTGATAAGCCATAAACTATGGATGCATCCCAGTTTTAGAAATTGTTTGAAAACAGACACTGAAATAGTTTTTTAAAGGCTTATCTGTATTGATAAGTGAGCACTTTAAAGCATTTAAAACCCTCGCCCCACCTGATATTTATAGCTCATGAAATGTAAGCAAGGCTTGTAAAATTCAGGTCGGCTTTCATTCACTGAGGTAACACTGAAGTGCTTTAGTTAGCTTCTTATTGGCTGTCCTGGTGAAAGGTCTGTTTTGTGTAAAGAAATTCCCATTGTAATGCTTGCTTTGGCTGTTTGGCCACATTACATGCATACTGTGTGTGTGTGTGTGTTCCTTTGCCATAACTGTTTTTTATTTTCTTAACTTAACAAGTGTTTGTGTGGAGTGCTTAATCTTTCTAACAGAGGACTGAGTACAGACGCTGTCTGAGAGCATACCAGTGTGAATTAAAAAGTGTGTATGCCACACCTTCTTTGTCCGTTGCCTTGTTTGTGGACGCTGAGGTTGCTTCCATATCTTGGCTTGCCTCATTTTTTATGTTATATCACCCTGGTTTCCTCTCACTGTCACCATCATCTGACCCAGTTGGGCACCATCTGACCCAGGTAGTAGTGTAATGGTGTGGGGCAGTTCTTCTGTGTAAAGAAATGAGATTACCTGCCAAATGCCACGTTTGCTTGTCCCCAGCCAACTGTATTATAGAAATATGTATTTTCGGCCCATTGCCCTTTTTTTTATTGCACCAAATAGACAAACAGCCGTTCAGGGTATCTGTGGTCTCCAGTTGAGAACTCAAGTTCCCTCCTATATGAGTGACTGTCCAGAGATTGCCAGCCTTGCAGAGTGGCAGGCTGGTCCTAGGAAGGCCCCGTCCCACTTCTTCACCTCTCCAGGAATGGCACACTTTGTTTTTAAGTTACTCCTCATCTTGTCCTGGGTCTTGAAGTAGATGAGATGGGAGGGCTTCCTGTTCTCTCTCCAATCTAGACGGCCTCAGCTCTGTCCTTGTGTAAGAACCCCAGGGAGCTTGCAGCTGGAGGCATCTTCAAAATGTAATTTAGTCTTCTATACCTTCAGGTATTTATTAAACTCAACCATAACTATCTTGGTGCCACCCTTTTCTCTAAAACATCTAAGTGAAGAAGTGATGATCAGTGCCACAAACCGGTTGTCACGGTTGCTCACATCAGCAGAGTTTCAGAAGATCCACTCACAGCAAGGATGGTACCCACTGAGAAGTGCCTGAGGGCAGTCTGTTCAGTCTGTGCGTGTTGCAGGCACAGCGCCATAGACGTGGAGTGTTGGGCTGCATTAAAGTCATCTCCCCCCTTTTAGAGTTGGATTTACAAACATGATGTCCACTGTCTGTCCCACTACCTACCTTTTGGGTTTTAACACTCTTTTCTGCACATCTCTCTTCATTTTCACTTAAATCTTGGAAACTGTTCCATATTTGTATTGATGGCCCCACTTCATTTGTCTCAATAGTGACATCGTTTTCCTTTGTGTAGAATGTGTTTAGCAAAGGTGTATGAAGTCGTGCCTTACTGGTAGGTATTTGGTTGTTCTCAGTTTTTTACTACTGCAGATGGTCCTGTAGTAAGTCCTGATGCCTGTTCAGCTTTGTGTACGTGTGCAGGTGTAGCTGTGAGATAACCTCCTAGGTGGAACTGCTGCTTCCAGTTTCGATACTGCAGATCCTCTTTGGAGAGGTTAATCCCTTTATACTTTGACCATCAGGCATCAACAGAAGTCACATTTGTCCAAACCCTTGTCAGCAGACTGAATTATCAAACTTCTAGATGTTTGCCACACTAAAACTCATTTTCGAGTTACCCTGTTCATATTTCAGTGACTAAACTACTGTGAACATTTGGTGTGATGTTAATGTATTTAATTGCTGAGGTCTGTTCTCCTGATTTGATTGGTCTTTCTGCTTTGTTTTGTTTTAAACAGGTAGTTATGCTTGTCCTAGCTTGGAAATTGGATGCACAAAATATGGGTTATTTTACTCTACAGGAATGGTTAAAAGGAATGACTTCTCTACAGTAAGTCCCAAGGCTGCCCTGGGATGGGGGCGGGAGTGGGGTCCTTGCTCTCCCCTGGCTGACTGCCTCCCTCTGGGACCTCATCTGGGTTGGGTACTGGAGGAAAGCCTGGGGATCTGGGCAGGCTTCACCTGTGGTCACAGGTGTGAAGACCAAGCCCCTTTTTCATATGTGGAGGAGGGCTATATGGATAAATTTTAGCAATTGAGGTTTTTATATAATGTACACTGTTTATTTTAGTATTCTTCTAGAGCAGTTCAATAGAAATGGATCATCCTTTTGTCATATATGTGAGCCACATATATAATTAAAAATTTTCTAATAGCCACATTAAAAAAAGGAAAAAGAAACAGGTAAAATTTGTCTTAATGTATTTTACTTAGCCCAGAATATCCAAAATATTATCATCCTAACATTAATCAATATTTTAAAAATTGCTGAGCTATATTTTACTTTTTCTTCATATTGAATCTTTGAAACCTGGAGTATATTTTACATTTATGATACATCTCAGTCTTCATCAGCTGCATTTCAGGTACCCAGTTGCTGTGTATGTTGAACGGCTACCATGTTCGACAGCATAAGTTTAAAATCATAGTGTTAGCATCTGGTTTATAGTTAGTGAGAACAGTTGAGTAAAGTATAACTTACAAGTGAAGATACTTATCTTTTATTCGATATATTCTCACATTAGCTTTGTGAAAGTTTAAAATTTCATTACTCTAGTGATTAAAAATTAATAATAATAAAGATTCTGTTTATGTTACTTGGTGCAGAGTTGAGGAAGAAATCAGTGGTTTTATGTATTCGCTTTGTGCTTACACGCATGTATGTGTGTGTGTTTTCGTGTGTGTGTTTGCTAAGAGTTTCACTCAAGAAAGCATAAATTGTCATTCTTTTATCCCTTGAAAGATACAAATGAGGTGAATGATGAAACATTTCAAATGATATTAAAAGAAGAAGTGCTGATTCTTAGGATAGTGTTGAATAACTGATATAAAGTACTTAGAATGGCTTTTTATTTTAAGTAGGAATAATAGACTTGTATTAAAATTGGAATTGAAATGGCTTAATGGTTTTATTTAAATAATTTAGAAATTTGTCAACTTTTAATATCATTGTCCCTTTGTCGTTGGAATGAGGCCTTTTCACTGTTCTCTTGTTTGATCCTCACACCTACCTTGACAGATCAGACTTCATCCTGCCCATTTTACGGGTGAGGAGACAGAGGCTTCAAAGGGCTATGTGATTTGCGATGGGATTAGGGGTAGGAAGAAAACCTAAGACTTCTGATTCTTCAGTCACATTCTTCCTCTAACAACTATTATCCAATGACACATGCATTTTAGGTGAAAGCCAAATCACCCTTTTGCAAATACACTTGCCTCAGCATGTCTAGAATTTTGGAGTTAAGTCTCTGGGATCTCATAGGATTGTGTTCGTCCTGTTGGGAAACATCTCCTCATGATGTTAAGCCTACTAACTCTTGTATCGTTTTCCTCGCTGCTTCTCTCTGGTGCTTTCCGGATAGAGCACGGGACGGCTGCTCCTTTTTAAGTACCCTAGTAATGATGAATGTAAGGTTAAATCAAGATTTCATTCAAGGCTTTAGAGGAGGTACCATCAGCATTTTTTTTTTTCAGGCACATTTTCATTTGTCTTAAGAGGGTATAATATCCCATTTTTGTATAGTTCTGGGTTCATTTTTACATTTGCCTTTACAGAAGAATATTACCCAGTGCAAGGCCTTGCTCATGGTTTGAGGATCACATTGTCTGGGAGCTGAGCTGTGCAGTTTCCCGAAAGATGCCTTGCGTGTATGCTCCCGGGGTAGGGGGCGCTCCACACGCTCTTTGTTGGGAACTCTGACATTTTGTGTGACACAAGTGGTGGCAGGTGGATTCCCAGAGAATGCTGGCACTCGGTCCTGTGGTTTACTGTGTAGTAACAGACCTGACCCCTGCGGGAAAAAATGAGGAATCTTTCTTTTTGTCATATGAAACTCTGAGATTAAGCATCCTCATCAGTGAGGTGAGGGTGATTACTCACAAAAACCTCTAAGGTTCTTTGTAGTTCAGAAATAGTGCAATTTCAAGTTTTATGAATTTCCACCCTCCTCCCCCTCCTGCCTCTGTAGATCCATCATTTGTTTAGCAAATATTTGAGTGGCAGTGATGTGCCAAGCATGGAATTCTAGGTCCTGGGGAAACAAAAGCCAGGAACAAGACAAAGTCCATTTGAGGCAGGAGCTTGGAAGCAATGTTCAGCCAAAACATCCAAAAGTAATAAGGTCACTTCTGTTTATGCTACTTGTATTTATAAGGTATTTGCACCCAATAAATAAAACTCAGAGGCCAGTCTTTTATATCTTCTAAAGATGGAAAAATACTCCATCTTTTGAATGATCTATTTCGTCTTCTATTTGGAATTTTTCCCTTTTTCTCATTTTTGGGTTTATTAAATCTGTCAAGTGAACTTTTTTGGACTCAAGCGAAAATTAAAGTATAAAAAAAGACTTTTTTTTTTAAGTTACTGTACTGTGGGTGCATGCTAGAAATAGGAAGCCCAGGCATTTTAGAACCAGGGAGTTTTGAATCTGCCACTTCCTGGATGTCTCTGGTAGTGTCCCTAAAACCAAGAAGGTTGAAGTGATGGAATGTGGGGCACCCAGAATTCATTTCTTGGATGTTATCTGGAGGAGCTGCATGCTTGGCATTTCCAGGGCTGTGTTTCATGATTCTTGGAAGAAGTGACAGCAGCTGGTAGGGAAGGGAACATTGATCTCCAGGCTCCTGCGATGGTTCTTAGAGAAGGCACAGCTCTTACTTTATTTTGGCCCTGCCATGTGACTTGTGGGGTCTTAGTTCCCTGACCAGGGATTGAATCCATACCCCGGGCAGTCAAAGTACAGAGTACTAACCACTGAACTGCCAGGAAATCCCCAGCTCTTGTTTTAATTGACTGTTTTATTTTTTGTCTTGTTCTAGCATGTGGGTTTAAGGTTACCTCTGATGAATTAAGCTTATAGAGCATTTAAGCTAAACAAAACAAAACCAAAAATGTATGTTAGCCTTGTAGCTAACTTTGCATAGAAATGATGATGGGCTGGGAAAATACCTACCTATGGGCTGACTGAGTGAAGGGGTGAAGGCTGTCCCTGGGTAATAGAAGAGAACTACCTTTGAGTGTATAACCTTTGAAGATTATCCTCATTCTTGTTACTCCTGACTGTGTTTCAGCAGCACGGTTGAAAGAAGCAGTGATTCCACAATGCGTGCATATTTTCTTGTGGCAAATGAAGCTCCTTAGCAGCATGGCACTACCTCAGGAAAGCTGGGGAGATGGGCTGAATGATTGGCTGCTTGCCGAAGTCTCAGGCCAAGCCTGTTTCTTCACATCTTTGTTGGAACGGAGCCGTCTGCAGATGACCTTGCTGAGCGGCCACTAGATGGCAACGTACGGTTCAGACAGGGTGACTCAGCGGCCTGGATCCCTGGTGGGGGTTAGTCCATGGGCTCTACGGGACCAGGCCCCTTTTAAAGCAGATCAGACTCTGTATTTGGAGAAGGGAATGGCAACCCACTCCGGTATTCTTGCCTGGAGAATCCCATGGACAGAGGAGCCTGGTGGGCTACAGTCCGTGGGGCCCCAATGAACTGGACACAACTGAATGACTAATACTAACAGTAAACTCTTTATTGACAGCATCATCTCTAACCTCGTTAATAGACACATGGAGTGAAAGCTCACTCTGGGCGTTTTATGTGTGACTCTCCAGACCAACTCTGTGCGTCTTGCAGTGTCAGGACATCTTTGCCAGCATTGGTTGGACTTACTCCCCAGCTCGCTGTAGAACTTCACATTCACCGCAATTGCAACTGCGTTCTTTTCTTTCAGCTATGCAGTGGTTCCTGCTCTAGAATCTGTTGAAACAAGCAACTACTTTTCCTTTCATTGGGCAGAACTAAACTAAACCAGCTGGCCCAAATCTGGCCACTTTCCTGTGGTTTTGGTCCTTAACCTTTTTTCCAAATGAAGAGGGGAATTCCTGCCTTAGGTATTTTGGGGTTAGCTGTTTCCCTTCTCTTTACTCCTCTCCCATATTACTACTAATAAAATATTACTCATATATCTGTGGTAAGAAAATCAAACCGTAGAGTAGAGAGCCCAATACACAGTAAGCTGTACTCCTACTCCTGCCTCAGAGGTTCCCACGTGCTGCTTTCTCATGCATCCTTCTAGCCTCCATGAACCCTATGGGTTCTGGTACTAATTGTCTAACTAGGCTATCAATCAGTGTCTTTTCTTCCCCCCCCATTTCTAACCTTTTCCCACAGAGATCCAGAGTGGGCTTTTCAAGATGGAAGCCTGATCATGGTAACTCTCATGATAGGAGATAGCTTCCATTGTTTCTAGGTATTAAAAAAAAAAAAAGTCCAAAACAAACAAAAAAAAGCCCCACTGTGGACCACAGAAACTTTATGGTCTGGCCCTACTTGTCTTTCAGCTTCGTTTTGGACCATGTTCCCTTTTACTCTACCCCGTCTAGTCACATGATTTTCTTTTCGTCTTTAGGCTTGGCGTGCTGCTAGACCTTTATGCATGCTATTCCTTTAATCTAGAAACCTCTCCTCTCCAAAAACATCTAGTTTCCATTTATCTTTCAGCTCTCAACTTACAAGTCAGTCCCTTAAAGAAGCCTTCTCTGACTTCTAAAGTTAGCCTAATTTTAATCTTTTTTAGCTTTCAAAGAAATCAAGGAGGATATTCTAAATTCTTATAAACTCATAGAAGTGAAACATTTACTGTAACTTTTGACTTTTAGATATTTATCATCTCAATAGATCATGGGAAGCTTTTTGTAGATAGCAAAAAAAAAAATTGCAGAAATTTCACAATTTTAGTGCTGAAAACAAATCAGTGTGTCCTATAATGAACTATATTTTGGTTTAATAAAGTATGTAAAATATTTACATTGTTAATACTTGTAATATGTATTATCTATATTTGGTAGAAGGTAAAAGCTCTATAGGGAAACAAAGAAACACATCCAGCATTGAAAATCTTTAATATTGCCAGTGAAAATGATGACTCTTGGTTCTCAGTTTTAAGGGCTAGCTATTAGGAACAGAAAGTTAGCTTGTAAAAATAGCCAAATAGTCTACTTAGGAAAAAGGCTGTGATGCTACTTAAGAAAAAGACCCTGATGCTAGGAAAGAGTGAAGACAGGAGGAGTAGGGGATGACAGAAGCCGAGGTGGTTGGATGGCATGACTGACTCAATGGACATGAGTTTGAGCAAGCTCCGGGAGATGGTGAAGGACAGGGAAGCCTGGCCTGCTGCAGTCCATGGGGTTGCAAAGAGTCAGACACAACAGAGTGACTGAACGAGAAAAAAAACTGTGTCACTTACCTGTGAAAACAGGTCGTTGTCACCAGGGCTTTCTGGAGAAATAACTGATTTCAAGTCTAGGGTAGAGAGAGTAGTACAAGGTGAACTAGAATATATTGTGTCAGAAAGCGAGGATGCGCTCAGAGACTGATGGGGACGTGTCAGAGGGACACTGGAGGGAAGTTGTGCACCATAAGGACGAGGACAGTAACAGATCATAGCCCCGAGTCAAAGGCAAGAGTCCTTTAGTCCAAAACTAAGAAAGGTGGTGAGTGGAACTCTCTCCATAGAAAAGTTCTGGCCTATAAGTGTAAAAGCATGACAGAATTAGAATAATCACCATTTTGCATCCTCAAATTAAAACTGATTTAGGCAGGGATCATAACAGATGCTGAAGCCACCTGGTGATGGGTTGCTGAGGAACAGGATTGTCATTCTCAAGGTTACACACCATTTAGAGGGGCCAAGAGTACCTTTAAGTGGAGATGGGCAGGTACTGCCTTCACCAAATGAGTCATCTTAGTATCACCAGTAACGGAACGGACTGTCCTCATGGGAGGAGAAGCACATAGCCTGGAGTGTTCTTATCATGAGTGCTTAATCTAAGTGTAATCATAGGGAAATTATCTGACAAACTGAGATTCTGCAAAACAACTAGTCTGATCCCTTCAAAAATGAGATTGTCAAGAAAGACAGGAAAGAGGCAAGATGCCTTCTAGAGACTAAGGAGATAGACACCTGAGAGCAGTGCATAAGCCTTGATTGGATCTCTGATGGAAAATTGGAGCTGGGGGAAAACTGGGAAATCTGCACGTGAATCATATATTAGCTAAGAAAGTTAACATTTCTGGGATATTAAGAGTGATGATGGCATTGAGGCATTTAGGCGTAAAGTGGCATTATGTTGGCAACTTACTTTGAAAAGGCACAGAAAAAAGTGCTTGTATGTGAGAGCACAGATGTGACACTGTTCATGGTGGACCCAGGGAATGGGCACGTGGCTGCTTATTTACAGGACCTTCAGCTTTTCCGTACATTAGAAATTTCTTAAAAAGCATAGGAAAAATAGCTCATTGTGGATGTGTTCCGACTCCAGGGTTTTTATTGTCTTTTGGGATTGTGTTTTATATTACTTCCCCACGTCAGAAAAAAAACTCAGGTTATAATTTGCCTTTATTCTGTTTTTCTAGATGTGATACAACAGAAAAACTCAGAAATACTTTGGATTACTTAAGATCATTATTAAATGATTCTACAAACTTTAAACTTATTTACAGATATGCGTTTGACTTTGCACGGGTGAGTCCTCTGGATCCTATCCAGATGTTTCTCTCTCTCTCCCCTCCCCCTTTTCACTGCCTTTTGAGGTTTGTTTTATATGCTACAGCAAGGAAGTTGAGTAAGCTACTCCCAGGATGCTAGTTAGAATTTCTCTCTACACATACACTGTCTACATGAGCTGAGTCTGGACAAGAATGTAGTAAGTCAACAAAAAGCTCTAGTGACAGGCCTTTAATAGCTCGTGTGATTGGCTTAGAAGTAATTATAAATGGGCACATCATAGACATTGTTCTAAACAGATTAGGTAAGCTTCTCACGAAACAGCAAACCTTCACCCATTGAGTTTCCTGGAATAAGGTAGTCAGGTCGAAGCCAGTTTCACTTGGGGTGCTGGATCATACCTGGAAGTAATTTGAATTAATTCAAATGTAAGCTAATTTAAATGGACAGGATTCAAATGTAGTTTCTAGTCATCATTTTGAAAAATGATCATCTTGTTTGTCACACAGTGAGCCAGGCCAAGTTTGTGGCGGTGGTTCTACCAGAGTGAAATAAAGCTGTATTTTTCAGCCTGGTCACCACAGGTAGTGAGTAAATCCTGAGGCACCAGTTGGCATTGTGTTCATTTCACTCTCCACGGCCCCGTTCATAACGATATAACGATTATGCTCTATTGCAGGATGGTAGTTTTCTGTTCTGTTTGTGTGTTTGGTGGGTTCAGGTGATTAGGCTTTCCTGACTGATGATTTTTTTAAATGATTTCTTTTTTTTTAAGCAGAGAACTCAGTAACAGTTCTTTTTTTGTCTTACCACCATGTGGATCTTTTCACTTTTTCTTCACTTTGGCTCTGTTAGTTTAGCCAAAAATTTGTTTGCTGTTGAGATCTGGTGCACCTACAACACAGCAGTAAGTTCACAGTGGTGTCCTCACATGTGAATTTTTGCAGCCTCAAATAAAATTAGGACACTCATGAGAATATATAGATGTTAGAAGTGATATGGTCAAGCTCAGATGCAGTGTTTCACTCAACGGCATTTGTATAATTGTATCTAAAAGTTGTTGGTCAGATGCTTTTAGAGTAGAGGCATAGTTTCCAGGATTAAATGTTTTCCTTCTCAAGATTTTTTTCCTCCCTGAGTCAGCAGTGTCCTATCGTATGGGTGAAGTTTTGTTTAGAAGCATCATGCCTTTTCACCAGAACAACTGTATTTTCTAACTTCCTTGTTTGGAAGTGAAATTTCCCCACATATCCACTGCTTTAGAACTGGGTTCAGTTTTCCTTCCACCTGGCTGGCTGTCCCCTTCTCGGTCGGTCACAGAGGCTCCTTCTGTCGGGGTTGAGGCCGTGCTCGTTGCCTGCACTGCTCCCATGACCTCTTGTCCACGCCGTCTCCCTTCTCACAGGCACTAACACCAGCGGGGCTTGGTCCGTCTCCCGCAACCTTGGGTTGCTTGTACGCCTTCGGCCATGAGCACCATCGCCTCCATGTGAATATAGCACTTCAATCACTGTGCGGACATCACAGTTGCTTCCCTAGCAGCCGACTGATGAATGGGATGGTTTCGTTCTCCTTCACCAAGGAGTGGGGTGAACTGGGGCCCCTTGGTTTCTCAGCAGTAGGTCCAGGACCACATTCAGGTTCTGGCTGTAGGTCCCATCTCCGGGGTCCCCCAGGCCATTGCAGTCCAGTCCCATCCAGGCTTCCCCTTCCACAAGATGCCTCTGCTCTGCTGACGGTGAACTAGCTGTTTGCTGATCCTGCCGCCTGCCCCTGCCTTTTGCCGTGCCAGGTCCTGTCTGAGCCTTGTCTGTATCCCTGTTGCTCGCTCCAGCTTCTGGGCCAAGCCACCTGGCTCCACCGCCACACAGGATCATCACTTACATGGCCCTCCTGTCCCCTCTAGCTGGCCCTGGGAGTTTGGGTCCAGGCCTGCATTTTTTCTGACAGTTTAAGGGACTGCGTGTTTTCTTTCTTCCTATCTCTGGTAGCAGCCTGCAGAAATCGTTGCCTTTTAAGGAGAATATCAATAAATATCAGTGAATTAAGCCCCATTATGTAAAGCCCCATTATGTAATGCTGAATAATAGTCACCCATATTTAATCATTACCAAATAGATTCAGTTCAGCTAAAATATATCCTAAGATGAATTTGTTATTGAATTTGTTTTATTTAGCTGTATCCCACAAGTTTTGAGGTGTTAAATATTCATTTGCATCCAGCTCAAAATATTTTCTTGTTTTCCTTGTGATTGTTTTGGACCCATTGATTATGTAGAAGTGTGTTGTGTTACTTGCCAACTACTAGGATTTTTCCAAATATTCTGTCATTAATTCTGCCATGGTCGGAGAACATGCTCTGTATAGTCTCAGTCCACTGACAGGTATGGAGGCTTGATTTATGGTCTGAAATGCGATCTGCTGTGATGAATGTTTTATGTGTACCTGCAAAAAATGACTATTCTGTTGCTGTTCAGTGGGATGTTGTATAAATGTCAATTAGGTCAAGTTGGTTGGTAGTATTGGTCAGGTCTTCTGTACCCTGATTGATCTCTGCCTACCGTTCTATTATTTGCTGAGAGACTCTTTGTTGGACTCTCCGACTGTGATTACTTTTGTTGTTTGTGTTATTTCTCGTCTCACCCTATTTTGAGGCTTCAGGCTAGATTTAGATATATGTAGTAGTGTTATGTCCTCTTGAAGAATTGACCTTTTAGCATTATGAAATGTCTTTCTTTATCTCTGATAATATTCTTTGTTCTGAAGTCTACTTTGTTTGATAGAAATATAGCCATTTCTGCTTTTGTTTTAAGTAAAGTCTATGTGATACGTCTTTTTTCATCATCTTTAAACCTTTGTGTCTTTTTATTTAAAGTGGGTTTCTTTTAGATAGCATAAAAGATGCATCTCCTGTATTGCTGTTCTTTTCCCCTTTTGTCCCATCTATGTTTGTTTATTTTTTCCTCTTTTCATAACTTCTTTTGGATTTTTTTAGACTCCATTTTTATCATTCCATTCCACTGTTGTCTTATTATCTGTATCTCTGTGTTATTTTTTGTGATTAATCAAGCTTTACAGCACATCTTTTTTTTTTTTTAATATTTATTTATTCACGTATTTGGTTGCATTGGGTCTTAGTTGTAGCACATGGGCTTAGTCGCCTCACGGCATGTGGAATTTTCCTGCACCAGGGATTGAACCCATGTCCTTGCATTGCCAGCAGATTCTTAACCCCTGGGCCACAGGGAAATCCCTACAGCACACATCTTTAAATTCTCAGCCTGTCTTCCAATAATATGATACCACTTCGTGTATAATGTAAGAGCCTTTATAATAGTACACTTGAATTTTGCCCTTCCATACTTTTGGCTGCTGGGTCACACATTTTGCTTATACATGTGTTACACATCTCACAATATATGTTTGAGTCTTTTCAGGCTGCTTAACAAAGTCCCAGAGACTCAGAAGCTTATAAATAACAAAAATTAATTTCTCACAGTTTAGGAGGCTGGAAAGTCCAAACTCATAGTGCTAGCAGGCTAGGTGTGTCTCTGCTGTAACCTCACATGGCAAAAGGGAGGAGGGAGCTCCCTTGCAGTCTCTGTTTTAGGGGCGTTCCTCCACAGTCATGAGGGCCCCACCTCTTATTACCATCACTTGGAAGGGGGGAACACAAACATTCACAAACATTAATATCAATATAGTATATATTGATATCTTTTTGCTTTAAATAAAGCAGAAATGCCTTTTTTTAAAAAGCAACTTTAAAAAAATGATCTATTTGACTGCACTGTGTGTTAGTTGCAGGATGCAGGGTCTTTAGTTGCAGCATACGGGCTTTCAGCTGTAGCACATGGGATATATTTCCCTGACCAGGGGTTGGACCTGGGCCCCTGCATTGGGCAGCACAGAGTCTTAGCCAGTGGACCACCAGGGAAGTCCCAAAAATGTCTTTTATATTTACCCAGATATATACCACTTGTGTGTGCTTCCTTCCTTTTGTGTGGATCCAGATTTCTATCTGGTATCATTTGTCTTCTGCCTAAGGAATTTCCTTCAGCATTGCTCGTAGTGCAGATTTTCTGGTGATGAGTTTCTAAGCTTTTATTTTGCCTTCAACGTAGAACACACTTATCTAGAGAAAGGATTTCTAGATTGGCCGTTTTTTCTTTGAGTGCTTTAATGCTCCCTCTCACCGTCTTCTGTCTTGTGCAGTGTCTGATGGTGAGTCTGATGTCGTTCATGATGCCTTTGCACATGGTGTCTTGTTTTGTTCTCTGGTTGGTTTTGTTCTCTTTTCACTGATTTTCAGCAAGTTGACTATGGTGTGCCTCAACATAATTTCCTTATGTTTATTCTGATTAGGATTTGTTGAGTTTTTTGGTCTTTGGACTTAAGCCGTTTGTATTAAATTGGGAAATTTCTCAGCTGTTATTTCTTCAAATAGTTCTCCTGTTCCCCTTCTCTCCTCCTTGTGGGACTACAGTTGTACTTGTATTAGATGCTTGATACTGTCACACAAGCTACTGATGCTGTGTTCAGTTTTTGTTTTCTTTTTGTTTCCCTTTGGGTAATATTTATTACTGTACCTTCTAATACTAATCTTTTCTTCTGCTCACTCCAGCTGGTATATTTTCATTTCAGATGCTGTATTTTTCATCTCTAGAAATTCTGTTTGTGACTTTTTCTATCCATTTCTCTCATCATGATAATATTTTCTTCTACCACCTTAAACTTCTTGGATGTGTTTGTGACAGGTGTTTTAACAGCATTGTGTTGTGGTTCTGTCATATCTGTCATATCTTTATCTCTTTCTCTAGTTAAAAGTTTTATTTTAGTTATGGGTCATATTTTACCACTTCTTTGCATTCCTGATAGGTTTTTTTTTTTCCTGTTTTTTAATTGGATGCTGAGTATTGTGTTTTAGGTTGTTGGTTGCCTGGGTTTGTTGTATTCCTTTAACTAATGTTGGATTAAATTTTTTTTCCTGGTGTGTATTTAAGTTACTTGGAATCATG